GGAGCGGGCGGTCCAGCCAGCCCCGCGTCAGTTTCCTACACGCTTCCCTGGGTCGCTGTGAGGGATGCGGGGGTGTTCGGGCAGCTCCTGCTCCGAGAAACGCCGGTGTCGCGGAAGGTGTGGAATCAACAGCTGTCCCCCGCGGCTCCCCGAGGCCGGGAGTTGTGGAGCCTGTTGGAATGTGTTCCGCAGCGGTGGCACCTTGTCTCTTACCGCATGGCTCTTGTATGTTTCCAGATTCAGAAGCTGTGTGACCGAGTAGCTTCTTCCACTCTGTTGGATGACCGGAGGGATGCTGTGCGTGCTCTTAAATCATTATCCAAGGTACGTACCAAACTTCCCATAGAGCCACATTTGTTTGTAATAGTTTTGTGATGTATTGCTTCAAAAGCTTTGTTTGGACTTTGGGCTTAGCCCGTTAACTATTCAATTTCTCTGAACAGAAATACCGGCTGGAGGTAGGCATACAGGCTATGGAACATCTCATCCATGTTCTTCAGACAGACCGGTAAGCATGTTGCTGACTTCTGCTGACAACCCAACCTTCTCTGCTGCTGAAACCAACATATACAGACTTCTCTGTATTAATAAACCGAGGAGAGGAGCTGCGTTTCTAACAACTCTTCTGCTACGGTGGCTTTTTATGATGACAGACTTAATCAGAGCATATTCAAGAGGTGAAAAGAACAGAGTTCCGGGAACTTGGATGAGAGGGACAGACCAGTTCTAGAGTAATGGTGGTACCAAAGTGTATTGTAATGCTTCTCAATGGTCAGTTTCGGCTACTGTGGAAATGTAAATCCAAAATGACAATGTTAATTACCGTATTTGAAATAACCCAAATCAGCCTGTTATTGGGCAAAAGGTGAACTAGACAGAATTAAGAGGAAATGAATGAAGTCAGCAAATGTGTTTTCTCAGATGTGTGTGTCATCAAATTAGTTGGTAGACTGGTTCTGTGGTGGGGAGTAATGTAGGCATTGATATTGAAGGGTTCAAATAAATAGGAGAGCTGGACTCCATGGCTGCTGTTAAGATAGATGACATTAAACAGTTTAGAATGTAATATTTCTGCCAGCCATTGAGAATATCTTTGCTATCCATCTCTTTCTGCAACTGATTGCATTGCTGTGCGTGATATTACCCATATGTAATGTGGAACCTGTTTGTAGTGCTTGGATTTAAGCTTCAAATACTGCGTGTTCTCGGTGCTCAGGTAGATAAGTGTCCTGTGACAGTCTTTCAGTCTGGATTTGAACATAAAGCTGGTAAATATTTATATATTAAAAAACCAGTCATAAGGGCATATGTGGAATGTTTACATGTGTGTACATGGGAAGCAGGAGTGTGTCTTCTAATGTCAAGATGAAGGAGAACGGGGAAAGCGGCAGTTCAGTGTCTCGAAGGAGGCACCTTGCCCTGTTTACGTATACAGGGCGAGGAACCCTTCAGTGCTCAGCCGAAGGCTGCTGCTGGCCTTCCTTGCCTGGCCAGTTATGCCGGCTGAGAAGAAGGTACGAGGCTGGTGTCTAGGTGAGTCCATGTTATTTCCATTGTCTTGGCTGGGTAGTTAAAAATGAATGTCTGGCCTGCATGCAACTTCTTTGATGAAAAGAGTAAAAGGGAAGGTTATAGGCGTAACTGTCACTGACATGAAGGGGAAGCCCTTCAGAAAATGAGGTCAAGGAGCCTGCTTTCATCCACTTATGTGCTCTTGGGCCAGATTTGAACTTTGAGAAGGGAGGCGGGGCTCTACTGATCTCCTTTCCTTTGAGATGCCAACCCAAACCCTTCAGGGCAGGTACTTGAGAGCTTTTCTGTGCTTTCTGGGCTCCAGTTGTCCCTTCACATTTGTGTGTGCTGCAGCTCTGCTGCAGATGCCTTGTGGCACTCGGGCTGCAGTTCAAAAAATGGTAAATAAATTTAGTTTTCAGGGTTTTCAGCTGAAAAAAATGCTGTCTTCCACAAAATGTGGAGAGACTCATTTCCTATTGCATGTTTGATGGTGGACCAGCACATCATCTGGCCCAAATGCTGTATGCTGTTGTTCATTTGAGAGAAGTGTAGTTGTAGCCAATGTGTCTAAGTTGAGGTGTGTGTTACAGCTGGTGTGAGTGCCCTGTTTGGTGTCAGTGACTGGTGAGGCTTTGGGGACTCTTGCAGTTGTAGGAATACAAATCAAAGCCAGCTAATCTGAGTAACGGGTTAATAAATGAGTTGCAGGCTCAGCTGTTCCTGATGCCAGTGTGAGGAGGATATTGAAGTGAGAGGACGGTGGTCTGACAGAGGACAGGGCTGTTGTGCTGTCCTTGCTCTTTCAGTGTGTGTCCATAGGTGTGATCTTTGGACATTCCCAGTGTCCATCTGAGGAACCCTGAAGCTTTTTGCAAAAGTGGAAAATGCTAGTTTCCATTCTCTATTTTTTTTGCGTTGCAGCTGTGAAAGGTTATTTTTAAGAAGCAGCAATGCAACTTCAGAGAAAACAGAAGTCAATGATTGACTCAAGTTGTCTTCTCACATGTCATGGTATTCATGTGAGTGACTCACATGTGCTGGTCCTGTACGTTGACTGTGTTGCTGTTGAAATTTAAGATTACAGAAGGTCTCATTTGATTAGAAATATGAAAGGACCAGGAAAACAGTATTCTAAAGTCAAAACAGGGACTTCTGTTTTCCTCTGTAGCTTAGCTTTAGGGAAGTAGGCTTTTTCAGTGGTTATTAGGTTAGCCTGAAGATAGGTGACTTTGCTCCTGAGGTGAAGCTTTTTGGCCATGAAGCTGCTGCTGGTTGTTATCTTACTGACTGGAGATGTTACACACTTATCTGCCTGTTGTCTGGGATGTATGCACGTAGCTGCTGTGTTTTGAGTGCATCAGACTGTGAACATAATAATCCATGGCAGTCACTTAGTTCCCAGCTGAGTAGAAGCAGGGCTTGGTTGGGCTGTATCAGGTGAGGCTTAATCTCCCCAGCCTTTTTTTTTGCAGGAATGAGGTGTTTGGGTGGAAGGAATTATGGGGGAGGAGCCAGCAGCAGGCATGGGGCTCTGAATTCTCACAGCCTGAGTGCATGTGTGGAATGCCTGGCTGGTGTACAAGAGCACTGTAATGTGAGAACAGTGACAAGTGCAAATACACTTTCCTATTATGTATTTACCAAAAATTAATGGAATAGTTCAAGGTGCACAACTGTTTGATCTTCAGCAGCATTTGTCTTGCTGGAATGTGTAATAGTAATATGAAAAACTGAAGCAAATTTGCTGGTAAGACATTATTATTTCCTAATGCAAATAAGCTCATTGAGAAATTAATATCTAATCAAAAAGTCCTTTGGTTTTAAGACCTTTTCAGCCCAGTATGATAGCACAGCTCTCATCTTGTTTGAGAATTATGTTAACTATTATTCTTGTAGCACTTGAGTAAAAAAAGTAGCTATCTTTCTCTGTTGTGTCTCCTGATTATGGTGAATCGAGTGTTGTGATAAGCACAAGTATGGGATCGGCTCTGTGTAGTAGTAGTTCTTTCCTTCCTTCCATTTGCAGCCTCGTTGCTGTGCTAATCATTTCCTTGTAGTGAATCGTGCTTTTCTTTAGCTCTTGGCATTATAAGGCATGTTGATATCTTCTCAATTCTGAAGATGTTAGGATGAGGTGAGAGGCATTTATAGCTTCATCTTTAGGAGGGAAAAGGCTTGGTTTGCGTGGCGGTACTGAAATGGTGGGCGCTTCTTGAGTCCTGTTCTCATTTCTGTCCTCACATCTTGCACTCTTGCTTCTAATTATTTACAGCCTTTATCCTGGAACAGAAATACACCACTTCTGTCTCTTCAATGAACGTGTCATTCCACTTGTTATACAATTTACTTCTAGCTTGCCTTAAGCTCTATCTACTGCCTGAATGCTTAAAACTCGTTCTATAGAAAGCTGACTTCTTTCACTAGTTTTTCAGCTCTGCACATCAGCCATCCTGGAGCCTGATAATATTCCTGAGTCAGCCTTTGAACGTTCCATACTCTTATCCACACCAGTGTTCTTATGCCATTTGTTTATTTTGTAATATGAAGTAGGAACTGTGATCTGCTAGAGGACTTTTCCTGACTTGCTGCCTAGATGTTGCCACATCCCACCAGGGATTATTTTGAAAAAATTTGGCATTGACTGTAGAACAGGCCAGTGCCACTTAAGTGTTGGTGTGGGAGAAGGCACCAGAGCGAGAAGTCAACTTGATCTTTAATTGCTTGGGTTCTACTTATATAACAAGGGTTTTAAAACTTCAGTGTGACAATTCTAGTAGTTTGAAACCTATTATGATCCTAAGAGAAAAAATTACTTCCTTTTTTTTTTTCCTTAAGGCACAAACCTCAGTTATTTATGTGCTATTAGTTCCAAATTTTTGAATTTTAATATGCTTCTCATTAAAACTTCTCTAAGAGGCAGTATAAATGTCATTATCCCTTTGATAACTTTTCCATGACTTGAGTTTTTAGGGGTAACAAAATGCCCTCCTGTCCAGGCATGCTGTGATTGATGTGATAGAAATGCTCTGCTTCTCCATGCCTTTCTTGGCAGTATAGATGATGCTTGGCTTTACTCTGACAGTGAAATGCCACAGTTGGAGAAGAACAGGTAAAAGCATTTTTGAGGCACCATACCTGGGCAGGACAATACGTTGGTGCCTTCACTTCCATATGTTTCTTCTCTGCTATTGTTTGTGAGCTCATGGAGTGCTGCGCTGACATTTTTGGTTGCATGCCACATAAAAGCACAACTAGCAGAGGGAAGATGCCTGAGGTGGCTTATGCTGGACTGTTCCATTGCATAAAGGCTGCATCTTTTATGGATGCACGAGAGACTGGAAGTCTGTTTCTTGACTGATTTTTTCACTACAGAGCAAGAACTGTGCAGCTTCAGTCTGAACAGAATAATCAGTAAAATGTTATATGTGGTGAAGAGCAGATAGTAGCAAGGCAGTGAACAGCAAAGACAGGAACACATCACAATGAGCAGAACAGCATCCTCCTTAGACAAGAGAAACAAGGCCTGCTTTTACCCCATCTATATAAAAATAGCTTTTTTTTGTAGCTGCTGTGATTTCCCTAACAAAGGAAAGGAAAAGCAAGACTGTAGCTTCTTTTTTTTTTTTTTTAAGTCTCCAGGAAATAGTTTTTCAGATGTGGAATTGTTTCAGTTACATGAAGAAGAAAACATAGGCTTTGTAGTGTTTTGTTGAAGAACTAAAATTATAATGAAGGGAAAACATAAGCAGGCTGGAAATCTGAGCATACCTGCTGGATGAGATGTGGACTAAAAGCTTCCTTTACTTGCCTTGACTAACAGTTTGGTAGAAGAGGCATTATTTTTTCCCCCTTTTGTTTCCACTACAGCCCACCTTCGAAGCAGGTGGTATGAGTTGAGTGACACACGGAGGAAAAATGCATGTGTCCTGAGAGGACATCAGCAGGACCAGGATTCAATTCAAAACCCAAAGTGAAAGAACAAACTACACTGACGCCTGATTATTTCTACCTTTTAATTTAGGGTGAGAGTTGTAGAAAGGGAAGTGAGGTGTCACTTTGACAGCTTGCTAAAGCCCTTGCTGTAGCGATACAAGAAATGTAGGTACAGATTGTTCCATTCCATCCACTCAAAGCTAGTGGATCACCTTGAGGCATCTCTAGTTTGCTTGGTTGCAACAACTGCTGTAGGTCTGTCATCTTTAATTAGTAGTTTAGCAGAGATAGCTGGCCTCAATTAAGGCTTGGTTTCTAAGATTGGTTAGGTTGTTTTTTAGTCCTCTGCTCTGAACTGGCCTAATAGCTTCTTAAAATGTGAATTTATCTTTGGTGTGGAGGCCTTGCTTTGCATGCCTTAGAGATCAGTGAAAGCAAATACTGAAAAGTTGGAATGAGAGGTCTTTCCTAGACAGCATGCTCTTCCTATGCTTGGGCAAGACATGGAAATAGCTGTGAGGTGTGACCCCCTGCACTCTGAGGTGCCTTCCTTTGCGATGGTAGGTTTTCTCTTCCTTTGTTTTTTGGCCAGCTGTCCGTTTCTGGTTTATAAGCAGCAAAAATGGTTACATTCCCCCTCCCGAAGCTCTTGCACTGGTTCTTTGTTTCAGTGCGGGGTTTTCAGATTGCTTAGGCTTTGTAATGCAGAAGACACAGGTCTCGTGAAGCAGGGCTTATTAAGAGAAGAGTCTTGGTGTAAGCAGGTGAACTAATGCTTGACTGGCTGCCCAGCAGCTTTCTGGGGATGCCTGGAGTTCAAAAACCCTTAATGACTGGGTGTAGTCTGAGTTGGTGATGTGGAGGCTGGCCTGTTTGGGAGAATCAGTAGCTGTTGCCATTGCATTTGTCTGGAGCACAAGCTTTTGGCCCCTGGTTCTTGCTGACAGCATAGTGGGGAGGGTCTTTCCTGGGATGGTGCTGAAGCTTGTCTGCAGCTTCCTCGGGTGACTTTCCAGGGAGGGTCTGAATCCCTCCCAGAGATTTTTCCTGGTATACTCGAGGAGCAGGCTGGAAGAAGTGACTCAGGAAATGGAAAACATGCCTACAGTGAAGCTTCCTGTGGTCATCTTGTGTCACCAGACTTTCTGGATGTGGCCACCTGAGGGAATGGAACTGGGAAAAGGAGTTTGACTCCATTAGGTGTTAGGACAGCTCATGGTTACATGGGATTACAAAATGTCTATTAACATCAGTCCTTCTCACTTGATCTAATGCTGCAAAAGGAACTGCCTGTGCAGAAAAACAATGTTGTAAGAGTAGCTGGAAATAAGTCATTAAAGAAAAGTGATTCTTTCATTTGCAGTTCAGATTCTGAAATAATTGGCTATGCCTTGGACACTCTCTACAATGTAATATCGAATGACCTAGAAGAGGAGGAGCAAGGTAAGTGCTTGGGAGTAATAGTTGTACTAACTGTGTGGGTGCTTTCCTTGGTGGTTTTGTTCAAATTATGAACTGTAATACTATGATTTACTAATGCTTGTTGCTTTGTTATTGTGTAGCTGTTGTGACAATGCTAAAAAAATTGTTTTACGCAGCTTGCATTGAGGAAATACTGGATCTCTTGCTTATTAATTTTAAGAACTCTGTTCTGTGATCAGTAGCCAGGTTGGAATGGGATAATTGATTGTTTTTTCTAGTTAGCAAAAAATGACTTGATTCCTTATTTACAATTGGGAAAGGACAGTTCTGGATGTTAACTGTCAAATGGGACACTACAATTTGATTTAACAGGGATATTGAGAAGGAAAATCTGTCACCTATGATAAAGTGGCTATATATGAGTGTGAAAACTTTCTTTTCCAGCCCTGCTGTGGCATTTTATAAAGAGACTCTGCCTGTCCTTCCCGAGATAGTTAGATGTAGAACTAGGCGCTATACAGCTAGGCTGTGAAACTCCCTGCCCCTGCTGCCTTTATTTTCAAAGGCCTCTTTTGGTAGGCCCTCAAAACCGGTCTCAAAAGCTGATGAAATAGTTGCAGCTCTTAAGAATAACCCCATATTTCACAGAAACATGAGTACACTGAAGAAACTGACAGCAGTAACCCAAATTAGGCTTGGGCAAGAAGAATGTTCTTAAAACTGAATACATGAATAGGAGCTGTGAGTGCCCAGGCTGAAGAAGAGACAGACGCCAACTGTGGGATTCAGTTGATCTTTCTGACATTTGACTTGTGCCTTGTTTCAGGTGTTATTTGAAAAACAGCTTCTGTTTGTAATTGCACATGAGATCTTGGCTTGATCAATGTTTAAACTAGTAATCTAAGCCAAATGGTTGTAGACTTGCTTTCCAAGGCTTTAAGAGGAAAACATAAACAACAAATACAAAGGCTTGTAGGACATCCATTCTGCTTTTGGATGAATGAACATGAAAATCCATCGTACCAGCCTGTCCAAAAAAAAAATAGATGCTCTTGGGCAAGCATGAATACAGTGGGAGCAGAAGGCTACATTTAAAATGGCTGAGTATCTGTGGGTTCCTAAAATCCTGTATTTGCCAGGGACCTCTAGTCCTTGACAGCCCTTGTATCTCATTTTTGTTTCGATTACATATAGTGGAAGGCAAACATTCCTGTGACAGGGCAAAATATGAGGCAATGCTACTGTTTGAGTTGAAGTCTCTTGCCCGACATATTTACCCCAAGATATTTCTTCAAAGGCTCCTGAAGTGATTGTTAACCTTATGGAAAATAGGTGGGGGTTCTCCAATATGAATAAATTTCTGCCAGTACGTTGGCATGATGTTGTGCAGCACGTCCTTTCACGGTGCCTTCTATGATGAGCTGTCTCATCTTATGTAGCTGCAAGAGACTTGCAAGCCGAAATCCTTCTGTGATACATTATTCTTAACTGTCTCTCAAATTGTTGCTTTTCTTACTGGCCCTTCTTTTCCTTATTCATCCAGTTGCCTGATCTAGATGAAAGAGGTTTTGAACAAGATCAGAGTTTTACAGTGCTGGTGAATCCCATGGTTATGGTAGTGGCCTTGATTATGGACTTGACAAGAATGTTATTAGCAGTCTCTCACAAAGAGCAAAGAATTGACCAACTTGAGTTATGCACGTGAGATCACCAGTGTTTTTAGAGTATGGGGTTGTTTAGTTTGGCCACTTTGGTAAGAACTACATGATGGAGTAATTGCTGCTGTAGAAAGCTAGGATGGCTGCTTTGAAAATCTGAGCTTGTGCTGCTATTGGTTGTGCTGTTTGGAAAGCTTATTCAACTTGTAAACCTCTCGTTTCTTTTTCTTTTATCTGCACTGACAGATGATTCTGAAGGTAAAAGAACCTTTACTTATCTAAATATGACACTCTGCTTTAAGCCTAGTTGCTGCTCACAACTCTAATGCTGCTGTTTAGAAAGGACACTGTGAAGACTTGAATTGGAGCTTAGCAAAAGCTTTTTGCATTCTGCTCTGTACATTTTCTTTGGAGCTGAAGCGTCTTCCCAATTTTTTCCTCATATGATTTGGGCGTGTTGAATGCCAGCAGATCACTGGAGATTTTAATAATGATAAATTCTTGTTTAGGATGTCATGAAATTGTGCAGCTTCAGCACTGGTAGAATTTTAATGGGCGAAAGGTTGTGAACAGAGTTTGTTTTCAAGAAGCCCCAAAGTTTGACACAAACACATGTGCTGCACGGAAGCATCCTTCACAGTGTCTCTTTTAAGCAATGCATGTTAAAATACAGTGTTCATTTCTGTCACAAGTTATCACTAACACTTTGTATGTTCTCCTCTTTTAAACTGCTTTTATCAAAATGCACTTCATCTGTTTATTTTAAGGTTAAATTCTAGTTTTCAGTGCTGGTTGTTAGTGAATCACTGAGAGATAATCTTAATAGATGGAAGTCATTCTCTTTGAGCCCTGTCCTGTGTATGTGTAGATTTAAAGAGCAATTATGGGTAGAAGTCTGGTTGCAAGTCTGTGGTGCATCCACAGAAGTAGAAGACACGGTTTCACTCTGCCTGTTTCTTTCTGTCCAGCTCCTCTCTTTTTAAAAAAATTTAGTAGAAGAAATACTGATAGGAAAAAAGTCAGAGTTGGAGAGGAAAAAAAAAACAAGTTTAATTTATCCTTCTTGTAGAAGAATCCAAAACATCCTGAACTAGTCATTCATTTTTTTGGGGGGAACCCTACTTACAAGAGTCTAAGTTGTGTGCAGTGCTCAGGTTTTACCTAAGCCCCCAGAACTGGTGCAAGGGCAAGACTTGGGATTAGGAGGAATCAATTGTTCAAACACCTGAACTCAGCTACAAATAGCAAGTAAAGAACAATATGTTCACTCACAGCTTGTGGAAAAGTCCAAGTGAAATATTTTGACTTAAGCATCTATTTAAAAGAAAAAAGTTAGGTCTGTGGGCTTTCCCTGGCTTGCAGCAAGGTACAGCACATGCAATCCGTGTATGATTCTCACCTGAGCTGCCCCTTACTCTACAGTAGCAAGTGCAGCAACTGTGCTTCTGTGGAGTTGGCTTACCTGGTTTGTTTATTCATTTAAACCAGGAGTGATCTGGACTTGATAAGCCCCTCAGCTTCAGAGAGCTCACTATCAGAATTGTATCCTGCTAGATGCTGCATGCCTGGGCTAGAGTTATTTTTGCCCTCAGTCTGTCCTCCCTCTTGTTATCTTTTATTAGTATTTCTTAGTTTCTGCAGCTAAAAATTTTACAGCAGACTGGTGCTTTCCCTTTTGTAAGCTACCTACTGATAATCCTGCCTCAAGGGAGAAATACAGCTATACTACATTAGAGAAATGATCAGCTACTCCCTGATGTATGAAAGGTTGAACACAAACCTCTTCCCTGTATTGGAAATCCTTAAAAATGAGATCTTATAAACTGATATCTTGCAGTGAATCACCATAGCCAACAGTTTGAATTGGGTTAGCTGAATTAAAATTGTTTTCTTGGCACAAAATTTTTATGGTGGAGTCCTTTGATTTCTCTGTTTTGCCATACCCCTGACAAGGTACAGAGTTAGAAGATTATGTGGTCTTTGACCCTTTTTATAGCTGCTCAGTTGTTAATGGTTTGTTAACAACTCCTTGATAAGGCTGTAAATCCTGCATTTCGAGCAGGAGGAAGAATCCTTGTTTTGCCTTCGCTTACCCAAATGAGACCTTTGGATTTGGTCAGAAATTCAGTGGCTTTACCATGGGTTTTTTGTGCTTTATGCTTCAAGCTGTTCCTGTGCCTGTCATTTCACCAGCTAGCATGGGATGGTGTCACAGTGCTGAATGTCCAGCTGTGTGATTTATAGGGCGACCTGATTTAGAAGATGAGCAGCAGCGCCTTTGCTGTGGCTCTTGGATGAAGGATTGGCCTGTTTGAACTGCTTGAAACATAGAATTGAGCCTGGGTGGGTGGCAGCATGCTCTGTGGGACAAGAGGGGCTTGGAAATTATGGAGAGAGAAAGCAGCAAAGCAAGTTGTTTGGGGGATGTGTGGGGAGAGGAAGCTTTGTAGGGAGAAGGGTGCGTGGCTGGAGTTGGGTATGAGCAGATGTGTCTTGTGTATTGCTCCCCTAGCAGTTAATTTGCGTTCATTGCCTTTCTGTGCTCTTGTGAGAAGCCTTGTGTAAACACAACCAAGCAAAGAGCCAACCTATTTTTTCAACTTGATGAGAGACTTGTTTCGTATGGGATGGCCACTGGTGTCAAGTGCAGTGTCACATACAACTGAATTCCCACCCCTATGGAATGGGACTGGGTTTGAACTACTGCTGAGCAGTTGAAAAGCTGCGGTGTCAGAAACTGTATTGGACTTGAGTGAAATGGCTTCCCTTTCTGTCCAAAATGAAAGTATAATAAAAAACTTCCTTACAATTAGAATTGCTGTTCCTCAGTTTCACTACTGAAATTTTTTTACTGTGCTAACCAGTAGTACCTCAAGATAAATGTTTTATGAAATAGGGTTGTTAAGTGTCACTTGGCTTAGAAAAACAGCAGCAGTGCCGAGATGCAGTTTGCATGTTTTCTGTTGTTTTGTGGGATACTTTTGCATTTGTTTTTTTGTTTGGGCAACAGTGAGATATGAAATAATTGTGTAAGACAAAGTTCATGGGCTACACTGATTCTACACAACTCGAGAGTAAATAATAGATTGGCACTTCATTTTCTTTCTGAAATTAATTTTTATCCCAAGATTGAGAGGAATTGATGCTCACCTGCTTCAAACTTATTCTCCTGATGTTCAGGTCATTTCTACTGTCAAACCAAAGTAAATGAAGTATTTGAGTTATTTAGCTTTAGATGGTTTATAATCCCCACCACTCACTTCAAGCCTGTTGGTATGAAATGTGCTCTGCTCGACTGGATCAGTTAAGCCACATGTGAGCATAGCTACTGTGAGGCTTTCTGCTCCTCCTCGGCTGTGAGGGTTCTCTTTTCTCTCTGAATTCTCTGCTCACTGAAGAGCACGCTTGGCTGTATCCACAACAGACAACTGTGAGGGTGAGAACTGTGATTCTGGTTGCATATGATAAATGGAAATAGGATTTTTTTCTTTTGATGTTGAAATAAGTTTGTTAAGTAGATTCTTAGTTCCCTCCTAGTTTTAAAACAAAATACCTCTCTATAGAAGTTATATTTAGAACAATGTAGACTTTCTCTTTTGCACAAACCTAGTGTCAGTGTTTGTGAAAATAATTAACGTTATAGCAGTGACTCTAAACATTTTTGTCACCCATGACCGTATTATAGTAAAAATAAAAATCACAACTACCTGAAGTTCTTCCAGTTATGTGCTGTAATACATTGTTTTGTACTATTACAGAAGAAAATTTACCAAAACAAGTTGATGATTTGGGAAGTCAGTTCACGGAGATTTTCATTAAACAGCAAGAAAATGTCACACTCTTGTTAACTCTTGTGGAGGTGAGTAACAGTATCATACCTGGAATACTGAGGGATACCTAGTGCTGTGCAGGGAGGTGATCTGAATGGGTGAAGTTATGTTTTTGTCTTTCTAGTAAAGCCTATGTCTAATGTGAGGTGTTCTTAGACATAGCGAATGTGGGGCTGGAGGTGAGTGAAGATGATGACCTGGATGAAGGCTATTAGTGCAGCTTTAAAAGCAGGGTAACATTGAAAGGGTTTGAGATACTTAATTAGAAACAGAAATATTGGTCTGGAAACACCAACTGTGGCCAGTTGTGCAAGGATAATTTTCCACCTGATCATTAAATGATAATGAGATAGTCATGTCTGTTGAAATGCAGTTTAATTAGAAAGGGTGATTGCTTTCCATCAGCATGATGTCTTTAACTCATCTTCCAATGATTTTATCCTCAAGGACTGCCTCTTTATTCTTGACTATTAAAAAATTTTGTTTCCAAACTAAGAATATGATTGTGCTTGAGAGAAAAAAAGCAACATGAATTTTTTATTTTTCTTTAACTTTTTCTTCATAGTCAATCTTCAGTAAAAAGATGGTGTCTACTCTTCTCATATGGAACTTAGGTCATGCTTTCAGCAGTATGAAACATTGGTCAGTATATTTGAGGCTTCATCTCTGAATGCCCAATTTCAGCCTCAGTTAGTTGGAAATGCAAATCAGGAGAACAGTTCTGTAGGCTGCAATTAGTGAGTTGGTAAAATTATCTTTCTGAAATTCAGTTTGTGGCTGGCTATATTAGTCCTATAAAACTACTTAGTAAGTATGAAAGCTTGGGTTATAAATGTACTCCTAAGATGCATAAATGCAATATGTATTTTAGGAAAATCCAAGATACACTTGATAGATGTATCTGTTACAAGTTAGATTAGGGCCTTACTCTGCAGTAAGGTGCTGTTGATTTTATTGATGTACAATAAAGCATCTGTCCTAAAGACAGGTGAAACCTATAGGTGGAGCTGCATGACTGTTGAATCTAGCACACACAAGTATCATTTGATAAGAATGTATATAGCATGGTGCAGAGCTGGAAGCTTGCAACATGTTTTGTAAGTTATCTGTTCTTTTTCTCTTAAGATGCCTTAGTTCAGGGCCACCTTGCTAGTCATATCACACCATTCAGGGTTTGTCCTTCACAAGAAAAAGCTTTCTAAACTATCTAGCCTGTTTCTAGATGGTTAGAAGATTGATTAGCTGCCACCTCTCTGTTGCAGCAAGTAGAGTGGAGATGCTTATCTTGACCAATGTCTGAGAGAGGTAGGATGCTGAGGAAAGGATGACACACACTCAGTTTTCACTTGTAACTAGGAACAGGGTTAAAATAAGACTGCTTGTTGAAATTAGTGATCTACTGGCTGACTTCAAGGTGATACTTTAAAACCAGCAGCATTAGAAGTACAGAAAGTTCTTTGAGGTGACTCAGTTGAGATGTGGGTCTGGTCACCAGCTGCTGAAAGAATTTTAGCTGACCTGGGGAGCCCACAGGTTTGTTGTGGTTGGTCAAATCAGTCCACGGGCTCATTATTTCTTGAGGTTTCTCCTGCTGACAAGACCCAATTTTAACAGAGAAGCTGCTGCTACTGTTTGGGAATATGAAGAAGATACAGAAGGGTTTGCTTCCCCACTCCCCTTGGATTTCTGGGTAATATGAGCTGATCCCTGCAGGATAGGTCTGACAGGTTTTTAGAAAGAAGAAATGGCTAGGAAAGCTGCCCCAGAAGAGAGGAAGGAAAGGAAACTGCTGGGAGTTCATGTTGCTGATAATAAAATAGAAAGAACCATGGAATACAATAATGTTTTGACTTGCTGGCCACGTGCTGTAACAGGATGGATGTAAAAATAAATGGTCAGGAGATGAAATTCCTTCTGTTGGGTGTCTATTAGTAACTGGTGTCTAGAAGATTAAATTTGGATACTGAGGAATTTATTACTTAATGTACTCCTCTCCATCTTTGTAGGAATTTGATTTCCATGTTCGTTGGCCTGGAGTGAAACTACTTACATCTCTTTTAAAGCAGCAAGGACCTCAAGTGCAGCAGATAATTCTTGTCAGCCCTATGGGTAAGTGGTTGAGCTTATTGCTGATAAGCTTGAAGCTGGAAGCTGAGCAAACACTACGGCAGAGGGCTAGAGGAGTGTTGAGTAAGGTTTTTTAAAGACCTCCAGCAAGAAAAAGCTGCACCTCTTTTTATGCTTTTTTTAATGTGTTTCTTGCAGGTGTTTCCAGACTCATGGATTTACTAGCAGACTCTAGGGAGGTTATACGAAATGATGTAAGTACAGAACGAAGGCAGTTTATCCTTTTAGTAATTAGTAGCTGTTAATTGAATTGCTGAATACTTGTGCAGAATTTGTATTAAGTTAAACAAATGCTTGTGAGGAAATCATTGTGGTTGCTAATGGGGAATACTTCAGTTCTCAGTTGAGATGGGTGGCTTTTGGATGTTTTGCCACAATTCACATAACAAAGGCAAACTGTTACTGGGTATTTAATGCAAACATTGACCCTTGTGTAGGGTTTTCCTAGTAGGTCAGTTGATCTTTCTCTTGGCCTTCTGTCAGGTTCACTTCAGTTCTTCCTCTTTACTCATTAGGTGCCAAAATGCTCTAATTACTACAGAAGAGACGGGTGCTTTACAAGTTCCCTCTTTCTTCTGTATAAGCACTCATCATCCTTTTTAACAGCACTGTGCTTCTATTTTGAAGTGCAGTGAGGCATGAAGGAATTATTGTGTGGTGTCCATGGTGGGTTTTGTTAGATGTGCCCATTTGCAAGGCATGCAGTTCTGCCCTGTGAGTCTGGACAAGGATTATGCTGCCAATTTAACATCCTGCTAAGAGCTGTGACTTGTGAAAAGCAATGTAGTTCCAGTAAAACTAAGTTTAATTTCTTTTCTCCCTGTCTTGTCAAGGGAGTTTTGCTGTTACAGCAATTGACAAAAAGCAATGCAGCCATACAGAAGATTGTTGCCTTCGAAAATGCCTTTGAGAGACTTCTGGATATCATAACAGAAGAAGGAAACAGCGATGGAGGTACAGAAAAGTCTAAGACATATTAGCAGTCTTGTGCTTCTGCACAAACTATGAGGTGACAATGCTTACAGGCTGACATTAGCATGCAATTGGATCTAGGTCAGTGGCTACAAGGATCAAAACATACAGCCTAGTTGGAACAGAACAAGCAAAAACAGATTGAGCAAGTAGGCAGGGTTTCAGCATCTTTTGAAATTTAGTCTTGAGATATTCAATTAAAACATTAGTTAATTTCTCTGAGCATGTGTGGTTGAGTTTGTGTGTTCCTGTTTGCTTATGTCTGTGAATGTATATACTTAGAATGGCAGTGTCAGATACCCATGCGCTGCATTTGTCACTTACAGAGTTAAGCGTCTGCATTCCTCCTGCAAGATCCTCAGATGCTTGGCGTGGTTGGACATAACAGCTTCACGAGTTTATTCAGCCTCACTAACTTGAGTTTTCTGGTCAGCTCCTTGCCAAATCATTTACCTGTTGGGGGAAGAAAAAAAAGGATTAAAAAATGAGCGAAAATGATGCAGCACTTGGGTGCTCTTATTTTCTTTTTAATTAGCAACACATTATGAGTTGACCACCAGTTGTAGTGTGCTACAGGTTCTATTTCAGTAACAGGACAGGTTGCTGTTCTATGACCTTTTTGTGAGCTCTAGGAGCAGTTATGGCTTCTCTCTCAGCTGAATTATTCCAGGTATGTTGGCGTGGAAAGATTAAGCAAACCTTTGATTCAAAGCTGCTATTTTTAGCAGCTTTAATTTTAGCAGCTGTTAATAATTTTAAGAGACTTGGTATGTAAATTCCTAATGCTAAGAGTTCTCTGCTTCCTGCCTCCCTCCTCTGTGTCCATTCCTCCTGCCTGCAGCCTTGCTGAGGGCTGGATTACCAGCTGTGGCTCTGCTGCAGGAGTGGGAATGGGGGAGTGTGACAGCTGGTCTCTGCTCTCCCACTACCAATTCTGGCACTGCTTGTGTCTTTTAAGAAGTGCAAGGAGGAAGATTTTATCCTTCCTGTAGAGTCCAGATTTGGAGGCATCTCAGCAGTACCTGAAGCAGGCTGTCTTTATTCATGTTGTATTCTGGACAGAGTTGTCTGATTTTCTCCTTGCAGAGTACATATTTGATTAGCATCTGCAGTGCTTTTTCAGGACAGATAAAAACTGAGGGTCAAAAAAAAAAGCTGTTCGAACTTCAGGGAGTTGAGTTTCAGTTGCTTCATTGTAAGGGCTATTTCTAATATTTGCTTTTCCACCAAAATAACCCAAAAAGTAGCTTTGAAATGAGTTGAAAATGTAGCCAGTGATTCAAGATAATAAGTGTGTTATCAAGTAAGAATTGCTGCATTTGAATCATGATGCGGTTCAAGAGGAACTTCATTTTTAGTGCTTACAATACAAAGAGGCAGTAGTGCAGCCTGACTCTGAAGCAGGTGTACTTCAAGACACAAAGTGGTTATGAGTCTGAAGTTCTTCCCATTCCTACCCAAACTCATACCAACCGTATATTCTTTGGAAATAGTGTTTTTGCTTCAGACTTCTAGAAGAAACACAATTGTGGTCTCCTTGGAAATACGCTGGATCAACATTGATGTGTTTAATATAGGGTGACCTTTGATTATTCCTTCATGCATGAGGTTTACAGTTCTTGAACCAAATCTAATATTTGTTAAGAATTAAGAGTTCAGAAGTGTGTGCTCTTTTCCAACTAGAATGTACGTGGTGCATGGAGAAGATAGCTAGTGTTCCCTGTGTCATCTTTTGATTTATCTTTTGGGGGTTTTTTTGTGTTGCCAGGAATAGTAGTGGAAGACTGTCTCCTCCTATTACAGAACTTGTTGAAGAATAATAATTCCAATCAGAATTTCTTCAAAGAAGGTTCATACATTCAGCGTATGAAGCCTTGGTTTGAAGTTGGAGATGACAACTGTGGGTGGTCTGCACAGAAAGTAACTAATCTTCACCTAATGCTGCAGGTAAAACACTTCATCTAACTCCTAAGTACCAATGTCAAGACTTTTTCAGCTCCCTTGCAATGAAGAATAAGTGTAATGTAACCATTAAGTGTGTAATCCATTTGTTGTCTTGAGCTCATAATTAGCTACCCACATTGACGAGATGTACTGCTTTCAGCACAAATACTATTGCCTCCCTTGCAATGAAGAATAAGTGTAATGTAACTGTTAAGTGTTGTTGTCTTTAGCTCATAATTAGCTACCCACGTTGTTGCTTTCAGCACAAATACTATTGCAAAATTGTGGATTTGTAATGGCTGGCTTATCGCTCAACTTCCATTCGTCTGACTTAAGATGTAACAGTGATTTAAGTTAAATACATTATTAGAAGTGTTTTATATAAAGAATCCTCCTGTATGAATTCATGTAGGGCTATGGTGTATTATTGTTGGGCATCTTCCCTTCTGCTCACCTCTCCAAAATATAGAATAGACAGAATAGAATAGACTATTTCAGTTGGAAGGCTCCTATGACAATCATCTAGTCCAACTGCCTCATGATTTTGGGGCTGACCAAAGGCTAAAGCATGTTGTTAAGGGTACTGTCCAAATGCCTCTGGAACACTTAACAGGCTTGGGGTATCGACTGCCTCTCTAGGAAGCCTGCTGAAATGAAATAAAGCTTTCCTGCTCTGAGGCACTTTGTGTGGAAGCTGAATGTTAATGATAAAAGTAGTTTCTCACTTTCAGAAATACAGTTCTGACAAATGGTGAGCCAGATAATAGAATTAATCAAGTTACAGCTTGATTTCTCATCACTTAGTTGCAACGTTAGCAATGGAGTCAGATGTTTGAAGATTTTTGGAGGGTTTCACTGAACTCCAACAGCCCTATGTAGTATTGAGATGAACATGCTCTTTATTTGTTGTCTTCTATGCCCATTTTTATGAGCAATTCTATTTCATGGCTAAACTTCAAATGGGTAAAGTTGTTTTGTTTTGCATTTCAGAATGTCTCGAACTCTCTCCACATAGAAATGTTTCTTTTTTTTCCTAGCTTGTGCGGGTACTAGTGTCTCCCACAAATCCTCCTGGTGCTACCAGCAGTTGTCAGAAGGCGATGTTTCACTGTGGGTTGTTACAGCAGCTCTGCACCATCCTGATGGGAACTGGAGTTCCTGT